GTCTCCTTATCTCTAGTCTTCGCATTCGGTACACATCCTTTCAGGTAGTGTTGTATTATTGTTTTAGACTTTATTTTAAAACCGGCAACGCCGCACACATATGGCATATTCTTTGCGCCTTGTTCTAAAAGGCATAGGGTACTTGAGATTGTATAAAATTTGAAGGGAATGGTGCAACGTTGACCGGCAAACGGTTCATTCTGTTAGTTTTGTATTTTTTCTATTACAATTAAATTCGTATAAAAACCATAAAGCAGTTTTTTTGGGTTATTTAAAGTGCAATCAAACAGGTAGGCTTCTGATTATCTGGAACGTTGTTACTGTTCGGCCTGGATTATTCGCCATCCATTTTTCCAATAACTGGTCCATGCACGTGCTTAATGGATACATTACCCCTACAACCAACGGTTGCAACTTATGTGTTGCATGGAGGGGCAAGCATAATATTACAATGTTATTTTCTGTTGCCTTAGTGACGACGACGTTCAGATTTTTAGTATGGGTCAAATGTACATCTAAAATTAGCAAGACGGGATTCTTTTCAGTTGGCTTCATAAAATTCAAACCATTGGCCAAACATTTCTAATTTCATCTAGTCAGAATCATTGTAACCGAAAATAGAGCCATCCATCAGTTCCTCTTTCATTCTTTTCCTACTAAAAATTAGCATAGGAGGAACAAAAGCCCCACCAGCAGAAGCGCAAATTACATCAGTTGTTGAAACTCCTCTTTCGGCTGATGTTACACAAGCAACTTGCTTTCGGCCTCTTTTTGCAAAAGTTTTTGAGTTTCTGCCAGGAACTGTTGACACAGATGTCTCATCGACATTAAAAACTCTGTGAGCAGGAAACTTGTGCCGCTGCAAAACACTTTTAAGAAGATCATAAAACTTTGAAATAACAATTTTATTAAATCTCCTTGCGCGGGCTGCTGAAGTTGCTTCATGAAGTAATCGTTTTACCCCAAAAGCAAATATTCTTCAAAACCTAACCTACAAATTTAAGCCAATAAAAGGCTGCGCAAATCAGCACAAAGGTAAGTAGCCTAAACTTACCTGATTTCGAACCCTGTTCAGTGTTTTAAATTATCGAATTGAATACCACTTTAACAATGCTGCGAAAAAGCCCCGAAATAACATCGAAAATCAGAAAAACAATAATGCACGTGTAAATGGGGCTAAAATAAGCCTAACTGTTCACAGATTGTTGTCGGTCACTGCATTTAGTCTTTCGATTATAGTTCATCTATTACTCAACAGATGGCATTGGTAGATTTGTTTATATTCGTGTAGATCATTTAACCTCGAGGTATCATTATACCCCAGTCTCCCCTACTTACAGCCAAAAAATTAAAAATGTACATCTTTGGTTCGTTTCAATATGTTTAACTTGGAGATCTCAATTAGACCAAGAGACGACTGTAAAAAATAAAAGATATTTCTGAAAATATAAAAGTTTCAGTTTTGTAGTAATCTAGGATATGATGAAGTGTTTTCAGGAACAATATTTAATGTAGGTATCTAGGTACCTATACTGGATTTTTATTTTGTCAATGAAATTTCATGTCGACGATTTAATGATACGTTGATATCGAAAATTTTAAATCAAATAAAGTTTCCGCTTTAATTTTTTTTATATTTTTGGCAATATATTTTTTTACCACTGTATTTATTATTTCCCAAAAAACATTCTCATTTAACTGTCCTCGTATCCATAGAGGGAATTAGAAAAGGAGTGTATGGGCCAAGAACCAAGCACTCCGAAAGCTTGGGAAAATACCCAAACATCTTCCAGGCGGAAATTCACGCCATCGAGAAGTGTATCCAGTTTAACATCGAGAGAAACTATCATAGACAACAGATTATCATCATGTCCGATGGTCAAGCAGCCATCAAAGCACTGAGCTCTTACGTAATTAGCTCAAAAATGGTCTGGAGATGCCTAGAACAATTGAATGAGTTAGGCGAGAAAAATAGAGATACTCACTTGGGTCCCGGGACATAACGGGGTAAAGGGTAACGAGATTGCAGATAGTCTTGCAAGGAAAGGGACTCAAACACCCTTTGTAGGACCTGAGCCGTTCTGCGGTATCAGCAGTAACAAAATATTAGGAGAGATTAAAAAAGAATTGAGCAGTAAAAACCGATAATTGGAACAATCTCTTGGGACTGAGACAGGCTAAGATACTTCTGGGTGAATATAACTAGAAAAGATCGGAAGCCTGCATCTGCCTGGGAAAGAACAGGCTACGTATTGTAACAGGGATGCTTACCGGGCATTGCCGACTAAAAGGACACCTTAGTAAACTGAGAGTAGTAAAGGATAGTGAGTGCAGATTCTGTGAGGAGGACGAAACCTCCATTCACATTCTAACTGAATGTGTAGCATTCCGGAATCCAAGGGCACTATATCTAGGAGAATATCAAATAGAAGAGGGAGATTTACCTAACTCGAAGCCACTCCAAATCCTACACTTCCTTGAGAAAATAGGATTGGAAGGGTCGTTATAGGCATTGAGACATTTCCTTGGTGCATTAGCGACATAAGGAGGCACAATAGATCTTTTAGGTCGCAGTGTATTAACACCCCATTCCCAACATAACATGCTTTCTTATAAATGTAGAATTCATGGCAACAAAAAAAAATATGAATATGGGTGCCATCCAAATAAGTCAACCCTCTATATTCTAATACATATTTATATAAAATCCAATTCTAAAATGTGTCCGCACGATAAGTCAAAAACGAAATATCATATCTACTTGAAATTTTTAGAGATTTTTTAAAAACCTGAATTAAATGGGGACAAAGGGAGGTTGAAATAAAAAAAAAGAGAAATCCAAAAGCAATATTAATATAAAAAGTTTAGTAAAAATCAATCACTATAAGGGAATGAAGAAATAAATAAAAATTGGGAGATAAGGGGGTTGAAGTATTGAAAAAGATACAAACTCAGAAACAGAAAACGATATGGAAATGAAATCATCAGGTTAAATCCAGCTTTATAAGAGAATGAAGACCAATGATTCTGGAAAAAAAAAATCATTGAAAATGGGGTTAAGGGGGTATGTTAAACTGTGAAGAGTATAAATATAGAATGATAATCATTATATATCATCGTTATAGTTTCTTTATTGATTTAAAGAGTATCAAGGGCTGCTGCAAGTCTTGGGCATCTGTGATAGTAATCAAAGACATTCTCCAAAAGGCTTGGCAGCGTTATGTGCTAGCTGTGTATGTTCTAGTTTGAATACATGTTTCACTTAAATGTCACTTTTTATGAGTGTAATGAGTAGGGTTGCCACCTTCTTGAAAAGCGAATAAAGGACTACGATCACTGATCTGTATTATTTTACTGGATAGGATATAGCCCCCTAAAAAACGTTCCGAAAAATTGGCCGATTTGGGCAAATATTAGGTTCTTTCGTTCGTCCAACTGGTGTAGGAATGAACTACACCAACGTACACTAAACCTTTCGTTTGGCCCGGTGTAAAACCCACTAGACCTTCCTGTGGGCGATGTGGTATCCACTGGTGGATATTTTCTCCACTAGCTATTTAGCAGGAGTGAATTACACTCGACATGTGTATAAGGAATAAGTAGGAAGTAAACTAGGGTAAATAAGGTGGTGTAACTGGTGTAATTTACACTGGTGGACACTGCACCAACAGCGAACGAAAGAACCTAATATGGCGGACCGGATGTTATTTAACATAACCTCTATTTCCATTTGTCATCACATTTGTCATTTAATTGTGTCAAGTTACGATGAGATGTTTTTATTGTGAAAAAAAAGTTAAATAAAACAATTATGTTTATAATAATTTGTTAATAGATCTAACTATTTTGTCGAAACAAACTGAAACAATTACTAATTTACACAAGCATACAAGAATACAAATAACATTTTTCGATTAAATGATAAAAACTGAAGTGAATTATAACGATTATTACTAAATTAAATAATGTTCTTGTTATTTGAGGTTTCTACAGAATTGGGAGCTTTTGGGGGAAATGGCTGAAGAATATGGAATTTTAATATTGTAAGTGCAGTAATGCGATTATGTGCAGACCATTCTGAGCTATTCTGCATTGATAAAACACAAACAAAGACTCTGTTGGTAATGCATTTAAAAATATTAGGTACTTTATATCATTTTTACATTATTAAAAATATTACAAGAAATTTAAATGATTATTTTTTCACCTTTTCCCGTAATTTCCTCTATTTCATTTAAAAAATATATAAATAAGAAGAAAAACTAATCATTAATCAAATCGTAGGTTAGGTATATCAAATTATCCCAAATTTCAGTTCTGTGATCCCACCATAATGTGCCCAAATCGGCCAGCATTGTTGCACTTCCGGTCTCCTTGGTGGAAGGAGCTCCGGCATATAAAAAGTCCTCATCCTTCTACTGAACTTCAAAAAAAAAAGAGCTTGTAACAAAAAAGTTCCTCCTCGTGTCATTCTATCAAGCTTCTAAAAAAAAAACTTTTCAGCTTATATATTTTTGTAAAAACCATGTCCCTTCCAAAGATATATTGCTTTAAAAAAAGATATTTTCCGTAAAAATTGACATTTTAAGCTTTAACAAGTCACAAGGTTATTGTGTTTCAAAAAAGGACTGTCCTTTTCAAAACAGGACAGGTAATGAGTAAGTTGTCTTTTTATATCGTATACAGTACTTTAAAAAATTTAGAATGAATGGCTTGTTTAAGGCAATATTCTTTTGCCAGTTTTACGATTTCTATTTAATAAATAACAACTCTATAAACAAACAACTTTATTTACCTGACTATTCAAATGATCCGAATCCAAAACAAAATTAATCCTAATGGATATTCCAATAATCTGCATCAACTTACTCAAAATTGCATTTCTCAACGTAAAACGTAGTATATTTACTAACAAGATCACGACCTGCAAACGTGATCAACTGAAAAAGACCAATAAGATACGAGTTTTGTTTGAGAGACCCCGCTTCCCGCTTATTGCACGGTTCAAGAGCATACATAAAACGTCTAGCCTGGCCCACAACTAAGCTTACAAAACCGTGTGCCTGTCTGCCTGCATGCATAGTTATTTCTGTACAGTACAGTTAACCAAGCTGAACAGTCGCGTCAAGTGTATACATAGTCACGTTTAAACCCTTCTGTGATTAAAAGTTTTGAAACATCCAATCATCCAAAGTTTTTACTTCAATCCTCTAAATAACTATAACTGGTAAGTTAAACAGTAGGCTTAAAAATCCTTTAATATTAAAGGTTAGATTTATAGATTTCTGCCAACCCGGCTAATAATGTTGAGTGACAGATGTTGTATCAAGTTTCAACGTGTTTACCTTCGAAATAATTTTAAAAGGTTATATCCGAAATATTCAGCCTTCGTTTGCTAAAATAATGATTCTAAAAATAATTTCATTGATTTTTTAGGAGTTATACAAGTGTGATAAAAATGGCAGATGTCAAGTTCTGGCAAATATTGGCAATAATGTAAATAATATTAGCTAAAACCTTTTTTATTTCTTAACAATGGTACCTATAGTTACCTATTTAGTTTTTAGAATGTCCTAATTCTAAGGAATATATTAATATTATTTGGATAGCGGTTGGTAGCACTGATATCAAGGAAGTAACGGGTCGATAAGTTACGCGGTCGCGGTCCTCATCTGTTTTATTCTTTGTCTACTGAGAAATGTGAAAAGGAATAGCATTGCCTACCTATACCTACTTACATAAATTACAAGAAACTTTCTTTTTAAGTTCTTTATCTACGTATTAAAAATAACAAATTTTTTTTAAGAAATGCATATGTTATAAAAATACATTATTATTTTTGACATACCATTTAAATATCTCAGACGCTAATAAAAATTTCAATAATAATTTCTGGACCAAAAAAAATATTAAGAGAACATAAATTTCTAAATTAATTGGTAACCAAATACCTATTACCTAATTTGAATTTTCTAAAGTTATAAATGTTATAAATAAAAAGTACTTATTAAAAAATGAGATATTAGCTATCCTTCCTCAAAACCATGCTGATTATTTAATAATGAAAAACAAAATACAATATTAGAAGTGAGGGTGGCCGTATGTGAGAGGTTGGGATTGAGTAGAGGGAGGTTGTAAAGAAAAGTCCTTAATTTCTTACTGGTGAAATAAAGGTTTTTCCTTTACAACCTTCCTTATTTAAACAAAATATGTTTGTTTCCTCTAATTTTATTTTATTTATATTACTTAAATTAACCAATGTTTAAAATCGTATTTTTATAATGGCTGCTAACTTTTTATCAGTACAAGGAATAATTTACTATAGAAGTAGCATTAAGTAAAACATAGTAATATTTAAGAGACAAACGGTTTCTCTAAATAACTAATGACTGAAAAATACATTGATTTTAAACCAAATAATGCTGCTTTCTATTTGAATAATGTAAAACTATCGTACCTACTTCCAATAAGTGCCGTTGTTTCAACTGATTAGAATTTGCAGTATTATCAGAAATTAAAAAAAAAAATCAAGAATATTATCTTTGACAAATATTTCTTCCAATTAAAAATAATTGTATTGAATTTCTTTCTTTTATGGAATCATATGAAACTGATCCATAATAAACCTTTTTTTAAGAATTATTCTATACCTAATACCTTTTTCATTTTTGTTATTTCTTGGGTCAATAATTAAATAATTCGTTATAATATTTGAAAAATTCCGATTTGTAACAAAAATTGGAAATGAGAAAGGGTTGTGCTTAACATCATGACATGCAGTGTTTTGTGTTTATAATTAGTTATTTGACCCCTGGGTGTGAAATGAGTTACCCTTATCCCATCCTGATGTAATATTGTATAGGTTAAGTCGACAAACTGAATTCGTGTATATATGTGAGTACATACTCGAAGGCCATTAAAAAAAATTAGTTTTTGATGTGATGAATTTCAAATTTCTTTCCGCTATTATTGCCAAATTCATATTTTTTACTATTTGAAGGTTATGGTTCACTCGATTTCAAAATTCTTACATAAAATGATAACAATTCTGAGATCAAAGTTTAATCTTAACTATGCAAATAAAATTCTCATATAATCAATATAACTGAATTATTCGTATAAATAAAGTGAGTCACAAGATTTTAATTAAGTGTCTAATGAATTTTGCACTCTAAATGAATCGTTAACTGATATAAAAATACGGAATCTGATTATATATTTACAACGTATTTAATTGTAAACAGTCAGTTGATTAAAGGTCATTTTAAACATTTCCTTAGAATTGCATTTTACTGTCATCTATTATTTTGATTTAATTCTTTTTTTACGTGGTCTTGTTTTACTTTCTTCACATGGTCCCAGTTTAATTTTTTTATCACACTCCCCCATTTTCATATTCCATATTCTTTACTGTTAAATAGTTATACAGTTCTTACTAATTTCTACCCATCATAACACAAGATACCTAATTCAGGTAACTTTGTAATAAAAAACGATAAAAGAGTTGAAAATTAAAATCCGCGCCTAAAGCTTGCATTGTAAAACAAAATGGCCATAATAAAATTATTCACCAATAAGCTAATTGTTCTATAGTTCCGTTGTTTTGTTGACATCACACAATCACGGTTAAAAATCGAGATGAATTTAGAGGAAATGATTCGGTGATAAGGAAATTCTTGATACCAAATTTTAATTTTAATCGAACATGATATGAGTCCTCTACTTGCAATAGCTACATCCAACATTTTTCAAAACTAATTTTAAGTGCCATAGTATACTATGAAAAAATACGTTTTATATTATATGATATTCCGATTATATCAAAAGCGACCCCATCCAAGTTATTGAATTAACCAACAACGAAATGTTCAGAATTTGGCTAAAGAAGATATTTGGGTTGTTACCAAAGAAATACCGCAACCCAATATTTAAATATCAGAAACCAATTCGTTTAAATTTCTTAAAATTAGTTTAAAATTTTTAGTTTTTTTTTCTTCCGAAATGTTGTTTGTTCTCAATTTTTCCAGATGTTCAAGTTTTTGTAACTTTATTTTTTAATACAAAATATACCCAGCAAACACACATATGACGTACTATGTACGTACTGATGAGACGTAAAGTACGTACAATGTACGTACTTAATATACGTAATGTATACGTACTTAAAGTAGTACCTAATGTACCTACTGTATACGTACTTAATCTACATACTTTGTACGTACTATGTACGTACTATGTTTGTACTTATTCCAATAGAATACATATTCTAGACGTACTTTACGTCCTTATTGGTACTTACTTATGATGTATAATGTACGTATTAGTGCAATGTAAAGAATAGTAAACAAGTTAATTTATATTTATTTACATTACATTAAAAGAATAATTTAAATTGTAATGCTGTCTATCTTAGGCGATTATAAGCTCTTCTTAGCCATCTCACAATTTCCTGTTCTGCAACCTTCTTCTCTTTGCATTTTCTACTTTTTATAGCACCTTCTGCAAAGAAATAATATCAAAATAGAAACTTAGGTACTGTTTATAAAGAATATATTGAGAATATATAATAAAAATATGTAGAGTAAATTATCATTGTCAGTATACTTCTGGATGTAAACCTCTTTCTTTTGTATGCACCTGTTTTGGCCTTATTCCTTTGAAATCCATTTCTTTTTGCGTTCTGTACGTACAGTACCAAAATTGTAAGTAGGTATTTAAGACCTACTGTGCTATTTGGGTATGTAGGTATTAAAACAACATTTTCTGTATTTTATTTATAAAACTTAAAAAAATGTCAAAAAATCCATTTTTATATTTGTAATATGTCTTGATTATTGGAACAGGAATTTTTAAATTGTCCTTTAAATTATGTCTAATAGAATATCTACATATTCAGAAACGAATATCCCAATATTTGCTAAAATGGATGCAACAAGTAGCCGACTCATATAATAACTGAAAACATTATTTGTAATATTGATTCAAACTTGATTAAATATGTAAATATCTAATGAATCGATACTTCCATTGATACTGCAGATTCATACACACAACCAAATTTATAGGGAATCTTTGTGTATTTCTGAATAAACTTTTTGTAAGGAAAAAATTTGGTATCCAAGTTTAAGATAAGGGTTTTTGTTTAGAACAAATATGATAATAAAGAAAACACGACTGCTGCGATTTATTAACTTATGACTTTTGTGTTCAGAAGTAAAATCACAATCCTCCGGTAATTTTATTTCGGTCCAAAAAAAAACAACAAAATGCCTTATTTTGAAATAACAGATGTGCAGAGGTGAAACATTATTGCTCTCATTGAACAAGGAATGTCCCAATGAAACATAGCAGAGGTAGTAGGCGATACCCAGGGTGTTGCATCGAAAACATGTGAAAGGTACTAGAAACTCTTCAAGAACAGGCCCAGACAAAGTCGTCACAACTGAACAAAAGGACCGCTTTGTGTGTGCCAAATTGCTAGAAGAAATCCCAGTGTTTCTCATCCAGAGCTACAATGACCACTTCTGGAAGCTACAGGTGTGAACGTTTCAATTGAAACCATCAGAAAGAGACTTCGCGCTCGAGGGTTGTACAGTAGGAGAGAGTTACGGATCCTACCGTTATCTAGGCAAAATAAAATTGACCGGCTAAATTGGTTCCTTCAACACCAAAACTGGACAATTGAGACCACAATTGTCCTAAGATCAGGTGACCGTCGAATTCGGGTTCTCAGAGGAGCTCCAGGAAGTTGAGCGAGACTCCACGCTGCCAGATCTATCCCAAGATATCAAGGAAGAACTGTAATGTTCTGGTGAGGTGTTATGCTAGAAGCAAAAGCTCCATTGTTACCACAAACTTTAACTGGTCCGAGGTATGTTGATTTAGTGCTAGAACCAATAGTTAGGTTTTGAAGAGCTGCGATTGGGGTAATTTTATCTTTATGCACGATAGTGCACCTCCCGTACTGGTAGAGTGGCTAGAAAATGTCTTAAAACGAAAGGTGTCACAGTTTTATACTGGCCTGCATGTTCACCAGACCTAAATCATATCAAACACTTGTGGGACCAGTTCAAAAGAGGGGTTAGAGCTTGTCGAAACAATGCAGGAAATGTCGCACAGCTCATTGATGCAGCATTAGCAGAATGGGAAGACATACTCCAAGACAATGTTGACAATTTAATAAAAAGCATGTCAAGGCGAATAGAAGCTTGCATAAGGGCTAGAGGT